CCGAGATACCCGCTCTGAAGAGACCTTCTGTGAATCTAAAGCCATTACCTTCGCCTTCTTGATACTGATATGTAGGATCCATAATGATACAAAAATGCCACAAGTCCTGACATCCTCCCATATAAATCTCAGTTTCTTGCCAACACACATCCTGAAGATCCCCAATTTCCAAGTATAAACCTTGAACTCACTAGAACCATTCTCGAGAGTTATCCACTATGCTTAAATCTCAATTAGACTGATCGAACAGACCGAACAACCTATGCCCCATTAGCACTCCAACACCCAAGGAAGTAACCCACCTTAATGCAACCAGGCCCCATGCACATTACATCCTTCACCAATAACAACTCAAATCATTCCATGTTTCTCACATACCCATAGAGTATAACACAACCCTTATCCGAGATTTCCTTTACTCAAGCCATCCTCGATCTCCAACCTTGCAAGCCACAACTGATTCACTCGTATACCTCAAACCGAAACTAATACAACACATAATCGTGCAATCAACTAATCAATAGCAGACTCCCCCGCTTGGCTCAAAGCCATAGATCAAAACACACAAAACTCACGATGCCCATACTCTATTACTGCCATAATACTATAGTGACATTACGAATCCTTCATAAGCTCATGCAATACAAACCATCTAGTGTTTCATATCATCCGCAGTCCTCGCATTCACCCTCGTAACAGTCAAGCTCATTTTCATAAGCAATCCAAACTCAAATTGTACTACATATGGTTCACTGGTAGAGGAAAACTCACTACTAAACAACATAGGGATGACACACCCTCAAGACACCCTGCAGGAGATAACCCACCTGCTTAGCCTTAAACCGGTGTCTCTCTATACTCTTCCATAATCATAACATTACACAATCACTAAATCTTCCTAAGTCCGAACTCATATCACAACATGAAATCTACTTCACTTCCCAACTAGACAACATGAAAAAGGTCCTTCAACACACCCACAACTCGGGGCTACACATCAAATCAAGATGGAAATCAAGCACCAAATAGTTATTTCTACCCTCAAGCAAACTCTTCTTACCACATTCGAACAATCTGAACACATCTCGCAATCAAATCACACTCATCACGTAGCCGTCCAGCCATAATTCCCACCAATAAGGACACAAACGGACATATAAGTCCCAAATGCACGTGCTCACACAATCAAAATCTCAATACTCAAGCCACAGACAAAACTCGGCCTCAAGTCCTCCAGACCGGCCCATCATCAACATGCCAAGATCACATCTCGCACCTCATCCAGAGAATCACAAACCGTCGATGCACAGTTGATACCGAGCGCTCATGTGCGCATACGAACACGTGGAAGGAATTCAAAGAGTTACACTTCAAGCTGAATCAATAACGCACGATAAGAATTCAAGAGTGTGGAATTTCCTAAAGGTTCTGCAGCCTCTCGAAGATATGTACAAACGTCTCTGTACCGATCCACAAGACTCTCCTAAACCCGCTCATGACTCGTGAGACCTATGTAACCTAGGCTCTGATACCAACTTGTCACGACCCATATCATGGAACTAGACCAGCCTCAAACCAACGCAATCTAATGCCACAGTGTACATATTAAAAATCATTTGCGAAAAACTTTCATCAGTTTTAAAACAAGTCGTTTAAGACATAAAGGAAAGATTCATATTAGGATACAATCGTCCCAAAACCACGGTGTCACTGAGATCATGAGCGTCTAAGGTAAATACATAGTCTATTAAACTGTCTAAGAACCAACAGAAAAATACAACTGGAAATGAGAAGGAGAGCCAAGGCCTGGGAACGCCATGCAGATACCTCAGCAACTCCACAACCTGCGATCTCGATCAACGGCTATTGCTGGGACCATAAGATACCTGGATCTGCACACAAGGTGCAGGGGTAATATGAGTACACCAACTCAGTAAGTAACAAGCCCAATTATGGACTGAGAGGTAGTGACAAACTCAACCTCTTCATAAGATAACAGAAATATTGTAAAGAAATATAGGCATGCTTTCAATCAATTGAACAACTCATAACAGGGAATAAGCAGATATGAACATGGTAAAGGAGTACAACTCTGCTAGATCGACATGCCAATGCATACTATATGAAACGCACTATGCCAAGTGCCTCATGTGCCCAATATCTCAATGCTCGTCCACTCAGTATTGTATATGGCTCATACGGCCCAATGAAGATCCATCCAGTAACATATATATCTCTCACAACAGTCACTCAGTACTGAGGAAGGCTAATCCAGCCTACGGAGAAGATCCATCTTCTCATAATAATAGTAATAACCTCACAACCACTCGGTACTGTATATGGCTCACAAGGCCTAGGGAAGATCCATACCAGAATATATACACATCATAGACCGTCCGTCTCCTGTACCGAGGAACAAGCCAATCCAGCCTCATGGAGAAGATCTATCTCTGGATATAATTACTTCAGACAAGATCCATGTCTAGGGAAAATCCATCCCTCAATACAACCAGTCGCGCCCACTGTGGGTGTGCAGACTCCGGAGGGGCTCCTACGTCCCAAGCGCCATAACATAGCCAGCGAAAGCATGTATCATTAATCCGTTATGACGTGCAGCCCGACCCATAACTGTCACTCATAATCAGGCTCTCGGCCTCACTCAGTCATCACTCTCCAGTCTCACACACACGGGCTCACAATGCCATGAAACTAGCCCAAAACAATGATATGATGTGCCAAATAATAATAACTGAGACTGAGACATGATATGATATGCATGAACAAGACTGAGTACAGAAAATCATTGAATGTAATGAGATGACAGCAAGAAACGACCACTCGGGTCTCAACAGTATCGGCGTAAAGCCCTAACAGGATGTCTAGCATGATTCATAGCACCTTTACTTAATAACATGATAGAAACACGAATATCAACAAGAAAGAGTTACTACGCGATGCCATGAAATGAACCAAGCTGCATTCCTCACGATGCACGCCCGCACGCCCGTCACTTGGCATGTGCATCACCTCAATACCATCATATATCACATAGTTCGGGGTTTTGTACCCTCAAAACCAAGTTTGGAAGCGTTACTTACCTCAAACCAAGCCAAACTCTAACCCGCGAAGCCCTTGCCTCTCGAATTGGCCTCCGGATGCTCCGAATCTATCCATAGCAATACAATACAATCAACACGAGCTAAAGGAATCAATCCCATAAGGAAATGCTAAGCTTAAGGCCAAAAGTCAAAAAGTCAACTCAAAAGACGGGCCCCGGGCCCACGTCTCGAAATCCGATAACCCATTCAATTATGAGACTATCCATACTAGTTTCACTCAATTCCGACTCCAAATCGGCTTTCGAATCCCAAAAATTCATTTTATGAAGTTCCCAATTTTTCCCAATTACATCCCAAATCTCTACTCAAATGATGAATTCAGCATTAGAATCATGTATTTTAGCCAAAATTGAGTTAGTATCACTTAGCCCGATGATTTTCTTGAAAATCCCTCGAAAAATCGCCAAAGCCCGAGCTCTCTAGGTCAAAATATGAAATAAAAGCCCAAATCTCGTATTTATAGTGAACCTCTCTGATTCCCATCACCGCTGACCGCGGAAAATCACCGTTGATCGCGGTAAACCATCGCTGATCGCGCTTCTGGTGGCTGCACAGACATGCCTTAATATTTTAGCCATAACTTTCTCTACAGATGTCCAAATTATGGTTTCTTTACTTTTCTGGAAACTAGACATGAAGGGCTACAACTTTTATTTTTGAATCATCTCAAAGTTCCTTGTAGATCGAAAGATATTGGCTTCCGAAGTCGGACCAACGAACCTGCGGATTCTCCCCTGGACCGCCTCAGCGGTAAAACTTCCGCCTCAGCGGTAGAACATCCGCCTCAGCGGTAGATTTAAGAACCAGAACCATTTCCTGAGTTCCGATAATGCCCGGACTCGCTCAAAACTCACCCGAAACACACCCGAGGCCCTCGGGACCTCAATTAAAATATACCAACACCTCCCATAACATCATTAAAACTTAGTCAAGCCTTCAAATCAATCAAAACAACACCAAAACATCAAATCAACTCTGGATTCAAGCTTAAGAACTTAGGAACTTTCAAATTCCACAAACAACGCCGAATACTATCAAATCACCTCCAAATGACAAATTTTGCACACACACCACGAATGACACAACGGACCTACTCCAATTTCCAAAATTTTATTCCGACCCCGATATCAAAATTTCCACTGCTGGCCGGAAATGCCGAATTTCTAATTTCGCCAATTCAAGCCTAAATCTACCACGGACCTCCAAATTACATTCGGGACACGCTCCTAAGTCCAAAATAGCCCAACGGAGCTAACCAAACCATAAAAATCCAAATCCGATATCAAACTTGGTCAAACCTTTCAAATTTAAAGCTTCAAGCTGAGAACCATTCTTCCATATCTATTCTGATTAACCTGAAAACCAAAACCGATGATTTACATGAGTCATAATACATCATAAGGGACTAGTCATGCCTGAGAAGTGGCGAGCGAAGTGCAAATGCTCAAAACGACTGGTTGGGTCGTTACAATTTCAAGTACTATAAAGTCTACTAGGAATAAAAATTTATCAACTCTAATGACGACATTTTCAAGTATTCTTTTTGATTTTTTATTACTTTGATCAGCCAATTGTAGAGACACACCAGTGTCCTTCATTTCACCAAGTTCTAATTTTCTGAAAATTGAAAAAGGCATTAGATTTATTGAAGCACCCGAATCACATAATGCTTTTTCAAAATGAACACCTCCAAAAGTAAAAGGAATTGTAAAATTGCCTGGATCAACGGGTTTCTATGGAAGTTTATTTTGAAGTATAGCACTACATTTTTCTGTAAGCTTAACCACTGAAACTTCTTCCAATTTTTTTTTACTTGAAAAAAATTCTTTAAGAAATTTAGAATATGCCGGAATTTTTTTCAAAGCATCTGTAAAAGGTATGTTAATGTAAAGCTGTTTTAAATTTTGAGAACTGTTTGTCAAGCTTTTCTCTTTTCAGCTTTTGGGGAAAAGGGAGGGGTACAGAGTGAGGATTTGTCATCAATTCATTTTCTTTTACCTTTTTTCCTTTATCTTTTTGATTTTTTGGAAGCTCAAGATTTAATTCATTCTCACATTTAGTTACATGTTCGACTTCTTGTGGCTTTCCTTGTCTATATGCATATGGATCATCAAGAGTTTTACCGGACCACAGAGAGATGGATTTGAGGTGTTCTTTTAGATTTTTCTCGGTTTTACTTGGTAGAGCACCTTTTATTTGTCCAGACATGAGGGTTGCTAATTGGCTCATCTGGATTTCCAAATTCTTGATGGCTGAGTTTTGACTTTCAACGTTCTCATCTGTAGCCTTAATGAATTTGTACATCATATCTTCAAGGCTTTGCTGATGAGCTCTGTGGGGCTGTTGTTGATATTGTTGAAAATTTTGTTTCCCTCTGTTTTGATTCAGAAAACCAGGTGGTCCATACACCTGCTGCTTTTGATTGAAAAATCTTTGAGGATTTTCAGCACCATTTAGTTTACTCCATTGGAATCCTGGGTATTTTTTTTGCCATGGGACTACCAAATGGGTTAACTGGTTCTATAACCAATAGCATTTGCTTGTTCCACATTTTGCGTTGAAGCTTGACACTCATGATTGTGATGAATACCTCCACAAACATCACATTTCTCATGTTGAGATGATGATTGAGTATTTGCCTGAAAAGCCTCAACTTTTTGTGTCAGAGTTGCAATTTGTTGTGCTAATGAATTCCAAGCTTCAACTTGATTGACTCCTGTTGCTTTCTTAGCAATCATTCTGTGAGAGGGTATTTGAACAACATTTTCTGAAATTTTATTAAGTATTTGCATGGCTTCTACATTGGTTTTGCTCATTAAAGATCCTCCTGATGCGGCATCAATAACATTTCGAGCATAGGGTTTAATACCATGATAAAAAATATATGAGATATCAGGATCTAGGATATCATGGTGTGGGCATTTTCTTAACATTGCTTTTAATCGTTCCCATGCTTGATATACAGATTTAGTATCTGTTTGCACGAAATTATTGATTTCTTGCTTCATTTTAAATATTTTTGCAGGTCAAAAATTTTTATTACGAAATTTTTGGGTCATTTGGTCTCATGTCATAATGGAAACTTTTGGTAGACTTCGCAACCATATTTGGCTTTACCTTTTAATGAAAAAGGAAAAATTTGTAACCTAATAGCATCTGTTGTAACTCTATTGTACCTGTAAATTTCAACTAATTCAAGAAAATCAATTAGATGGGTGTGAGGATCTTCACTTGCATCACCAACAAACTGACATGACTGTTGAATGGTTTTAATCAAGTTGTACAAATTTTAAAAGTATTTGCTGCAATTGGTGGTCTCTTCACACTTGATTCTCCTTCAAAATGATATGACCTTGCATAATCTCTAAGTATTCTATCATGTTGTGGCGCCACCTCATCAAATTGTTCTTCTACTTGGTGTGGTGGAAGCTATTTATTGAGTTATTTGTTCTCCATTTCCTCTTATGTGAAAATTGAGATAGTGAGGTTTGTTCTTTTCGCAACAACCGCAAGGATTTTTCAATTTGAAGATCGTATTGGACTAGTTCTCTTGAAGAGGAACGGGTCATACACTTTCTAAAATTTCTGCAGAAAAGTTAAAATAATTAGACAAAAAAAAGATCTGTAGTAGACTTTAGCCAATCCCCGGCAACGGTGCCAAAAATTTGACGAGTGCCTGGCGTATGTAAATTTTTTACTCGTACTCTATCAAATTATATGATATAAAGATGTCGAACCCACAGAGATTGGTTTATCTATTTTACAGACATTTCTTTTTTAATTACTATTTTAGGAAATCAGAAAGAGTTGAGTTGTGAATTAACTAACAAAAAATGTATGAACAGAGCAATAGAAAATATTTTATTTTTTACAAATATAATAAAAAGGTTGACTTCACTTGATATTCCTATTATACAGTAGAATTATTTATTCTTCAATTTCTATTTCCAATAATGTATAGATGCCTATCATGATTACAAATATATATTATTACTGAAGTCGAACAATTTATTGCGCTCCTTTCGGTAATACAAATTAATTGTCGAAATAGCAATATTAAAGAACCAGAAATATATATTTGAACTAAAACATGCTCTTTTTAGCAAGTCCCGTTCGGTTACCATGCTTGTTATAATTAATTACTAGACTATTTGCTTCTCTTGATTACAAATAAGTATAGAATCAATTATAACATAAAATAGATAGATATCACTAGATAAATATTAACATTTATCAATACAACAATTAACTGTATTACTTCTTCCGCCTCTCTCGATTACAGAATTAATAAACAGCTAATATGTAGTATAAAATAGATAGATATTAATAAATCAAATACTATCTAAGTGTAAAGTGGATGAATGTCAAATTAAAAGGTTTAGCTCAAGCATGTGAAATTTAGGAATAATATCTATTGTAACGACCCGATCGGTCGTTTTTAGCTCTAGCGCGTCGTTCGGCAGTTTGAGGCCTTGAGTAACTTCACTTCAGGTATTATGACTTGTACATGTGATTGGAATTGAATTTTTGGAACTTCAAAGTTGATTTGGAAAGAAAATTCTAATTTCGGAAGCTTTAAGTTGGAGGAATTGACTAAGGTTTGACTTTTGAGTAAACGACCTCAGAATCGAGATTTGAAGGTTCCAACAGGTTTGTATGATGATTTTGGACTTGGGCATATGTCCGGATCGGGTTTTGGATGATCCGAGAGTGTTTTATCACCTATTGTGGAAGGTTAGCATTTTGGAAGAATTTCTTAAATTTGGATTGAAGTGTATTTTAATGTTATTGATGTCTGTTTGGAATACCAAGCCTGGGAATAGCTTTGTATGGTGATTTTGGTTTTTAGGAGCTCGTACGGATGTGGATTTGGAGGTCCCTAGGTCATTTGGGGTCATTTGGCGAAAGTTGGAAGTTGGGGGGTTTTTGGAAGTTTGATCGGGAGTGGAATTTTGGATATCGAGGCCGGATTCCGATTCTAGAAGTTGGAGTAGGTCTGTAATGTCAAATGTGATTTGTGTGCAAAATTTGAGGTCAATCGGACGTGATTTGATATGTTTCGGAATCGGATGTGGAAGTTTGAAGTTCAATTGTTTATTAGGCTTGAATCGATGCCCAATTCGTAGTTTTGATGTTATTTGGTATGATTTGAGCCCTCGATCAGGTCCGTGTTATGTTATGGAGCGGGTCGGTGTGATTGGACGAGGTCCCGAGGGACTCGGATATGTTTGGGTTGTATCCCGCTCTTATTTGATGTTTCAAAGTCGTTTCTTTGAACATAAAGGGTACCATATTGAGCAAACGACCTTTGGTTTCTGATTGGATTAACCATTATATCTGTATCGTAATTACGGAGTCATAGCAATAAGAATCACCGAATTTCGATGTCGTATGAGAGAGTTATGCCCATTTCCGTATTGGGAAAGATTGTTGGTTTCTGGTGCGGACTTTGTTCTTCGCAAACGCGAGGGAGGTCCTGCGAACACGAAGAAGGAAGTTTGGGTTCATTTGGGCTCATAACTCCATTTGGGCTCCACAATATATGGTTGGAAAGCTAACTCAAAGGGCTACAACTTTCATGTTTTACGTTTTTCCAAATTCCAAACGGGATAGGATCAAAAGCGCTATTGAAACTGCGACTGCAAACCTGACGCGGACGGAGACAGAATATAACCCAACTAGTGCGGCCATAACGCTGGCTTACCGCGGCCGTGCTAGTCCAGACGGAAAAACAGATCTGAAGGGTACTTTTGGAAGTTCAAGACCAATTCCCTCAACCTATAAAAGGTTTAGTTCGTCCAAAGAGCGGAAGAGACACTAGTTTAGGGTTAGACAACACCCTTGGAGGCAAGAACACGCTAGGAGCAAGGAGGAAGATTTAACTACGAGTTTTTCCCCTTCTTCTTCCTATTTTATTGTTTGTTATGAATTGGAGTATTGTGTTTTCACATACTTTTATGAATAACTAATTTATTATCTAGAGTTTTGATGGAACCTTTTGGGGATGAATTGGTTGTTATATTAATATAGTTTTGAGTTAGTTGTTAATCTCTATTTGTTCAACTACGTTTTAATTTTGGTTAATTGAAAGGATCCTCGATTAGCCGTTCCAATTTATTATGTATCTGCTTGAGAGAGAGTGCATATTTAGGTAGTTGTTTGAAAAACATTACTTCCGGAGTATAGGCGAGAGTCATAACCGAGGGTTTAGAGGTTGGATTAGAGATAACGATACCTCGGGTGTGATCTAAGTGAACTGTAATGTGAATCTAGCTAGCATAGCTTGAGAGAGTGCGTCTAGTAAATTATCATAATTGCTTGAGAGAGATTTATGATAGCTGGAGAGTTCATGATTGATAGAGGCAACTAAGTCAAAGCTATAAGAAACATACAATTAATGAAATCAACAATTGAGGAAATCATAACTCTAGACCTCCTTAATTTAGTCTCCAAACCTTTGTCTCGTTAGTTGATAATTTTACCGTTTTATAGTATTTCTTGGTTAATTAGTTAGATATAAAAATCTTAATATTATAATTTAGAAATTGTTCAAACTTGTCTTCTTTGCGATATTGAACAATTACAGCGAAACCTTAGTTCTCTGTGGGATTCGACTCCGGACTTTTAGACCGGATTATATTTGCAGCGACCGCTTATCCTTTTTAGGACTAGAGTTGGGCGTGATCAAATTTTGGCACTGTTGCCGGGGAACTAACGGTGTAGTTGTAGTTGTATATATTGCTAGGGTTCAAGTTTGAACTTTTATTTTGTGTTCTTTTGTTTTGTTTTTTTTTTTTTGTATTTTTTTAAATAACTATCGATTTGAGAAACATGGCATCTTGGAATTATAGAAATTTAGGTGTAGATAATTCTACTATTGATCTCCATACATATTGTGAAGGAAACCACCCGTGGCAAAATTTTCAAAACGTTCCTAAGAGCGAGTTATGTGCACCAACTCAATCTTATTTGTGGAATGTGTGTGATGTGTGTGGTGGTAAAAATGGTCACCTTGATGGTTGTGCTTATATTTCTTATTTTCCTCCAACCCCTTACTATGATGGTTCTAACTTTTCTTGTGAAGTTAATAGGAACAAAGAACCTGGGAATGCGGACTTGAAGGAGATCAAGGATATGCTAAAGTGCCTTCTGGAACAAAACAATGAGAAACAATTGCACATAGAAAGGCAAGAGGCAACTATTCGCAAGTTGGAGGCTCAATTGAGTCAAGTGGTTGGAGCTGTTAATGCTCAGCAAGCCAATATTGGAGATAGTAGCCAAGAAGAGCATGAATTTGAGGTGTTAATTGGGGAGGTCAGAATAGAACATCAACAACCTAGACAACTACAATTTGAGGATGTCAATGTTGAAGAAGTGAGACTAGAGCCAGCCAAGGACTTTGAGGATATAAATTTTGTTGACTCTAGTATCATTGATGTTGAGGATGTTGAAAGTCTTGAAGTTCATGTGTTTGAGCGCATTGGTCCACACTCCAAGCATTTTTCCACATTATGTTTGGATGATGATATGGAAATAGAGTCATCTGAACCAATCGAGGAGTCAAGGAATGAGGAACAAGGTGCATATATTCTGGAATTCTTCTTGCCAGAAAGTCAGGATTACATACCTCATACAAAGGCCAAGGAGTGCAGAATACTGCATTATTTCCTTGGGCCAGGTAGATTCGTTCCGCCGCCCCATGACCATAATCATAAGCTTGAATCAAAACTTGGGGTTCAATTCATAAGCTCGAGGTGGAGGCAAAAAGTGATTCGCGTCGTGCCGCGACGTTAAATCAAGCGCTTGTTGAGAGGCAATCCAGCTTTATTGCTTTCTTTTATTTATTTTTTATTTTTTTAAATTGTATTATTTTTGTAGTGTCAATTTTTTTTTATTTTTTTTAGGAGCATGGAAAGCAAAGGTATTGGAAGGATGCAACAACAAATCAAATGGTTGGAACTAAGTGTGAGGTACCCGCACGAAGGACCAAGCCTGGGAGAAGTCTGAG